GGTTACCATGGAGACCTAGCCAGGCAGAGAGAGAGCCCCTGTATGACATTAAAACTCTGATTCCTGCCGTCCGTGTTCCACTGTCTGACTCTTTAAGCTGAAACATGACTTTCATCTCTGATAAAAAACCTTCAGTCCCTGATCAGCTGTTTATTCTGATAATCAGATGATCAGTTTTTAAATAAAATCTACTTTTTCTGGTTTCTTTCCTCCTCCATGAAAGTCAACTGAAGGTCTTTGGACAGATTTTTTATTATTTCTTTTTAGCATTTTCTGACTTTTCAGAGACCAGAAACTCACCGAGTCTTGACCTTCCTCATCAAGTCGTTTCCCTCCTTTGCTGAATCCAGACCTTCTCTGTTCAGCAGCTTCCTGCTTTACTGTTCTGTTGTTCTTTACTGTTTTGAGAATGTCTTTTGATAGAAGGTCCTTCTGTTGTTTTACATTTCAGCTAATCAGTGTGACGACATTAAAGCCTCTGATTCTAACTGTGAGGATCAGAACCAAACAGACAAACCCATCAGTTTTCATCCTTTATTGCTGAACAGGTCCGATCAGCTGACGGTGGAAAACAAACACCCTGAACTCGTCCAGCTGCTCGTGTCATGAAGGAGAGTCTTAAAGGAGCAGTTCCACATGTAGAGCTCAGCTGGCTGTGCACATCTGAGATGATCTGATCTGTCACACATCAAACAACCAACAGATCAGTTATCAGACTGATCCAGACACTCCAGCAATCACTTACATTCATCTGACTGGATGTTGTTGAACTGAGAAATGAGCAGACGACACTTTAACCCTCCAAACATGTTTCTGTGCTACATCAAGTCCTGCAGCTCTGTGGAACCAGAACATGATGGAGGAGAGAGAACTCAGAGACGTCTTTTTGTGCCGGACTCAGAACCAGGAGACCAGAGAGAAGGTTGAATTTCTTTGATGATATATTTTAGAAAAGCGTGAACTCCTGGATCCAACATGTTCCAGATGTTAAACCCTGAAGCTCACATGGTCTCCTCGTCCTGCAGATGTTGAACTATCTCCATGTATCTCCACCAACTGGCTCCTCTGGTCTCTGGTTCTGATCCGTGCTGCATCCATTCATTGATCCAGTAGGATGGATTCTCCTTCAGTCTCTCTGAGGAAACTCTCTGAATGTTTCCTGTTGGTCAGAGCTGGGTCCGATCAGAACCAGGTGGAGGAAGGTTCTGTTCTACAGGATCAGAACCAGGTGGAGGAAGGTTCTGGTTCTAAATTCAGTCTGGTTACAGCAGATGATTTATTGTGGTGAATTTTTAAATGAGGCATGAAGAACAAAGAGTTTTATCACAGTTTTAAGCAGCGGTTTGGTTCATTGGTGATGAAAGCTGCTCGTGTGAGGACTGAGGCATCATCTGGACGCTGATAAAGGAAACTGTTGAAGTCTGAGGCCTCGGAGGCTGAAAACTGTTTTTCTCAAAGCAGGTTCTAACTTTGACTTCACAAACACGACTTTTAAAACATCTGACTTTAGTTGCAGCTTCTCAGCTCAGAAATGCTCAGTCTTTCTAGAATGTTGTCGCTGCAAATGCTTTACTTTTACATGAGACAAGTAAAATAGATCGATTCTAATGAAACCTGTCGTCCACAGACCATCCTCTCTGATTGTACAGCTTCCTGTTGATAAATAGTGTTTGAAGTTTCTTTTAAAGGGAAACCCAGCGGTGCGTTCAGGGGTTTGGAGGGATAAACTGCCGTCAGACATTCAGGTTGACCTGAACACTCAACCACAGCTGGTTAGCTTAGCTTAGCATAATGGAGGCAGCTAGCAGAGGCTAGCAGCTGAGTGTGAGATTGTGACACCTCAATGTTGACCTGCTCCTTTAAGATGGTTGAATCCTGAGCTGCAGTTTGCAGCGTGGCAGTGGGGGGCGCTACGCTAACAACAGCATGAAGCTTTGTGATTGGCTGAAAGGTGCAAATAAAAGTGATGAGCTGAATTTAACCTCTGAAATATTCAGTTTCAGTGATTGGCTCAAAATTGCTTCGCGGAATATTTCATTGTGAGTTCCACATAGAAACGGAACAGGGACGGTGAGGTGCATGCTGGGAGTTGGTGTTACCTGATGACATCACAGCCTCAGCTCTCTGTGGCTCCAGTTACCACGGAGACGCAGCAGAGGCACTGTTAATGGGGAAACAGGAAAACAACAGGCAGCGTCTCCTGAGTTTATGATGGCGTCTCCACGGCAACAGACACACAAACATCCACAAACACACTTCAGGCTTACAGGCTGAGACACTACAGGTTCAGAACTTCATGTAGAAAACAGGAGTCCCCTTTGGCCTCCACCTGAGAATCCACAGATACCCCTTTTCCACCGAGTCGAGTTCAGAACCAGAGCCTGACTCAGCACCAGTTCTTTGTGTTTCCACCGCCTAAGCACCGGCTCCAGGTTCTCAGAACTGGAGCTTAGCAAGAACCAACTCTTTGCTGGTCCAGAGCTAAGCACCAGTACATCAGGGGCTGGGGGCGGGGCTATCGGGACCACCGAGACCGATGGATGGGACACACAAGAGGTGATTTGTGTCGTTTTTCACCAGGACGTCTCTGGTCCGATCACAGACGTACTGAATGAGTCCAGGGACACACAGAAGTTCTGCACAAACTGTTGCACTGAAGTCCGGTCCAACTGTGTCCCAGCAGCAGC